AATAAATAAATTGTTGCTTGCTCAAACACTGTGTAAGTGATTTCACAACACCTCATAAAAATGGTGTAGCGCAGCAATAATACTTGTAAATAGAAAATTAACATAAGATAAAAAAGTCCCAATAAAGTCTTTTAGAACCATGTTATAAAACACCCCCGTGCAATATGTGACACTATAATCTTCAATCTTCATCTTGCACCAAACGTGCCTCCACCAAATAGATGAAAAACATGCTCACCTCACTATTAGACCTCATAAGTGGGTCAAGATTCGCTTATCACACTATATTGCAAACAACCCATGTGCAACTGGAAAAATCCTTCTCCAATCCTCCTCTTGACACTGTTGTACAGATCAAATCTTCCCTCCAGCATTCTCACACGTCATACATTATGGATACCAAATATGGAAAGGCAGAACCATAGTGCTCTCTATTTTTAAAAACTTTATTAGCTCCCAGAATAAAAACATGATATAAGATCAATAGAGTTAAAACCATATATCACAGTTCACGGCTCACCACCCTGTTCTCCTGGATGGCTGCCAGGATGACGTCACAGGCTCAGCTGCTTCCACCTCTACGCCTTGTGATTGGGTTTCATCAGTAGACGGAAAGCCAGCATATGCAGAACCCTTAAATAGCAACTATTAATTTCTATGGAACCCGGAAAACAACTAATTCCATGTTGTATGACCTCTCTTGCTTGTGTGCATGAGGCCTTCTCATACATGATCTCAGTAAGCTATGTGTGAGGCCTAAAGGATTCAGAGAGTAGGAAAGTAGGATTTCCAGGCTTGTTTTTTACTACTAAGCACTAAGAACATTTCCTATTTTTAAGGTATTTATTGTAAATATATTGTAAAGTTGACAGTGCTTTATACAGTGCACATACTTCACATTAGAAATACTTCATATTTCACATCAGTCCCTGTCTCCTTGAAGATGTTTATAATCCAATGTCCCCCTTGTATACCTGCACACTCTAGGGTATGTTTCTGGCTTGTGGGAAAAAACCACCACACAGATATGGAAAGAATATTCAAACTGCTGGCTGACAATGTATCAACTAGAATTCAAGTCCCGCAACCAGAGCTGTAAGGCATGAGTACCATTTAGCCAACATTCCAAATGTTCTGGTTTTGCCAGTATATAGTAAACATGATGCGTTTAAGATAAGAATCGTATATATATTAATATTTCTGGCCATCAAAAAAATAATTTTAAATTCTTGTTTTCTACCTCAGGACACATACATTCCATTAAGTAAAGGCTACCCAAGGTTTGCTCCTCCAGATTCATCTTCCACTGTTAGTTGGGGTACACCACTTAATACTCCATATGCTCAACATTACCAAAAACAACAGGTAACTGTATGCAAATATAAATTGGAAAATTGTCAAACATACCATTTTTGTTATATATTTGTGTTTTTCAGGCTGTTTACTTTTATTTTTTTAAAGTCATTTAGAAGTTTGTATTAAGCAGGCATAGAAAGGAGGCATACCTTCCAAGCATTGAATTTCTGCTCTGTTTACCTGGTTAGGCTCCCCCAAAATTATTTGTGTAATTCTGACCCTACAATGGGATAATGGATGTTAAACTGAGTTAAGGACCCACACCTTTTATGATAGCATTTGGGTGTGGGGATTGGCTTTTGGAGTCCTGCTTTTTATGTTCCCAATACCTGGAAGTATAGAGTTTTTTTCTCTCTGTTCCAGTGGGCAGACAGGGTAGTGGGGACCAGGGGGAGCATATACAAGGTAAATACAGGGTCCTTTATATGCCTTATATCCAAAGAACCAGTTACTTCATTCTGAATGAGAAGTTCTGCTTTAAGATATAAACCTGTGGAACTGGAAGAGGTTTATTTTGTTGCTATGAGCTTTGTTTGGAAATGTCAACATATTTTCTTTCCTGTTTCCTTTTTTTCATATTCTTCTTGTATAACTAAAAGCAAAACTTTTTTTTAAATTTGGACAGAGTGGAGATGGGTAAGTACCCCTGTCAGGTTTTATTGCAACTGCTGCCATACATTAAGGAGATTCACCCTCTCTATTTGTCCTGTTTACCATTATCATTGTAAGTGATAATAACCCCAAAAAATCTTTCATTGGGGACACTAGTTCTGGTAACCTGGTAGTTGCAATAGATTCCCTTAATTTGCAGGGATTTCCTCTCACTTCCTCTTTTGACTATGGGACAAGAAGTAAAGGGAAATCTCCCTAAAATGAAAAAAAAAGTCTTGCCTTTAGTTCTATTTTAAATCTAAACGTCATTGGAGGTTATTTACTAAAACTGGAGAATTCTGAATCTGGTGCAGCTCTGCCAAAGAAACCAATCAGCTTCCAGGTTTAATTGCCAAAGCTTAATTGAACAAGCTGAGGTTAGATGATGATTGGCTACTATGCACAGCTGCACCAAATTCTGTGTGCACCAGTTTTCGTAAATCTTCCCCATTGTATTGTTCACTTTTAATTTAAGTGTTAACATTTTTTTTTTTTAATATAGACTGTTACAAGACAGGTTCCAGCCAATAATGAGGTAAGAGAATACACTGTGCTATTTTTTGTACTACAAGTAATAAAATCAGAATTGCTTTCCTGCCAGATAAACCAAGATTGTAACTGGGTTTAGTCTATCAAAAATAGTTTGCACTTCTCTGCCGGGGTATGAAAACAGAAATCTGCATGACCAATTAAAGCCACAGTGGCTCTATTTTTTAAAACTTCTGCCTTGTAACTGTTCGGTCCCCCAACATATAATGTTTTTGTAATTCCCCTCAGGTATGTTTCAGGTAACTGATATAAAAGTCTGAATTTGTATAGTATGAAATCAGAGTTGTTGAGTACTCCTCAAGCAGCTTATTTATGTTGGTTCTGTCTGGGTCATGGCGATACAAGTCTAAATATGCTTAGGGGGAGATTTACTAAAACTGGTGCACTCAGAATCTGATGCCGTTGTGCATTGTAGCCAATCAGCTACTAACTTCAGATGAGGAGAACTATAAGCCCTTGATATACACTGCCATTCTCCACCTTCTATTTATAGCTAGGAAAATTATAGCACAGAGATGGTTACCCCCCTCTACCCCATTAAAAGCTCATTGGATTAAGGCAGTTAATGACACACTATCAAGGGAGAAGATGGTCTATCAACACAGAGGTAGTCCTGGTAAATTTCTGAAACTTTGGGAGGCTTGGTTGGGTACCCCTGGCCTGGCTCCCTTTCACTTGGATAGAAATAGATTACTGAGCGGAGGTGTGCCTTCTGGTATTATATGATCTTATTTATCATGCTAACTTGAAATAAGGTCCTGTTTACCGCTTCTGATCGCATGCTACTTCTTAGGAGCTACTAACTTCAGCTTTTTCAATTAAGCTTTGACAATAAAACCTGGAAGCTGATTTGTTTCTGTGCAAACTTGCATCAGATTTTGCACTCTCCAGCTTTAGCGAATAACCCCCTTAGTGTCATCTTTTAAAGCCATGATGGCTTGTTCTTTAAAACAGTTGCCTTGAATTCATCAGGTAATGAAATTAAAAAAAACTAATTCAATCAAAACTTTATATCTAAATATGTTTTGGATAGAGCAAGGAAAAGTTGGAGTCTCTGGTTTTTATTTCTGTCTGTGAGATTTCCACTAATTTTCTGTTAGAATAGGATGAGATGGAAAATCTCTTCAATGGGGACACAGACGAAAAAAAAAAATATCAGCCTCCTGTGCATTGCTGCCTGAAAATGCTGTTTTCAGGTATTAAGGTGTTTTGTTTTTTTTTACTGATATAAACGCAGCCCATTGTTTTCGAAGTGCCTGTACACACAGGAGCAAAAATGTATTGATCAGTAAAAAAAAAAAAAAAAACAGAGAAATCTGAGCCACTGGTCATTTTTTTTTGCGTGTATACTTGCAAATTAGCTCAAATACCCACAAATGCGTGCAAATGCCACGCTTCCTGCTTGTGTATGCATACCTGCAAATACACGCAACTATATGCAAGTAATATACATCTCATCCTGGCTTTTTTTATTGCATGGAATGTCTGATGGTCATACATCAGTACAGTGTGCAAGAGTAAAATATTGGAATATCTGACAATGTCTTATTTCTGTCTTTAATTTTCTGTCCCTGTGATGCCCATACAAGAAATGTAGGCATCACAGGGAAACGCAAAATGAGGGAAAATCTCCTTTATGATGCCACATACACAAACAAAAATCCAATAGAGATGTTAACTCTTCTCCACTCTATCCAAACTGAAAAAAAAAATAAAATAAATATATATATATATATATATATATATTGGTTGGAGTTGGGCTTTACAATACACCAACAGAAACATGTTCTGTGAACGCTGAACTCTTTCTGAAAATGTCACTTACCTGGCTGCCTCTGGCTTTGATAGTTTAAAGTTATTGTAAACCCGCACCTTGTAAAAACAACCCATTCAGTTTAAAATAGAAATGAAAGGTAAAAAATTTGTTTGTACATATATAAAACATTATAAATACCTCCCCCCCCCCGTTTTTTTTATAAGAGATCACATTACCTCTTTTCTCAGCTGCATACAAGCTAGGGGAGGAGAAACAGCATTACACTGATCTTATCATTTGAGAAGAGCAGGCTGAATTTCCAGCACAGCTAGAGAACTGACTACACTGTGCTCGCATGCCTTGTGTGGTCAGTTTGCAATAGGAAAGCAAGGGGACTGGCAGGAATACCAGGGATTTCACACAAAGGAAGCAATACAAAAAAAACAGGATACTTTTTCATACAAGTACATGGTACAGCAGGCACATATCAGGAATATGAAATGTTGGGTTTACGTATGCTTTAAAACATTGACCCCAACAATCATTGTGACTTTAAATCAGAACCGCTGATCTTGTGCCAGGTCAGTAACTCTGAAACTATGAAGTAGCTAGATCCATATGAAATAAAAAAAACTATCACTTTTAGAAGGAGAGCTCAGCAATGAAAGCCTCCATGTTTTTTTACCATTAAAAAATGGACCTATAACTATATAAAGCATACATTCATTCTTGTCTTTTCTCTAGCTTTCTGTTAAACAGTTGAGAACAGTTCCTGAGAACTTGCCATCGCCATCAGACAGATACCGCTTGAAGTACCAGCAGTATGAAAATGAGATGAAGAATAGCTATAAACAGTACACTATGAGAGGAAAGGCCAGAGATACACAGCATTCTGCAAGACAGGAGGTAATTACACATGTCAATCCATTTTAATTTACTAAAAACAAATTAACTGCCACATTCTGCTCCTTTGATCTGTCGTGATAACTAGATGGTAAGCATTTTTATCTTGGCAATATAATCTTCATATGGTCTGTTCATATGTTCTATTTCCAGGAATCCTTCTGTACTCATTGAACTTATCCAAATTATTTCAGTGAAATTCCTTTGGGGTTCCTGTGGTTTGCAATGCCAGCCAAGGCAAATACAATGTTTTTGCATATTTACTAATTTTATAATTGGAAGTCGTATCCTGCCAGTGGACAAGAGGAGTAAAGAGTGTAATAAATTCATTTTTAAATGTTCGGCAGAATTACATTTTACATTTTCCTGCAAAGTAAAACACATACCACAAAATTAATCATTAGATACCAGTTTTAGGATCTTTGTCTTTACATGATGTGTGCGTTATTTTACAAAGTGTGTGTGATAATGTGGCGTAGAGTGGGCAGACATCCCTGGTACAAGCTTTCTCCAAATACGACAAGTTTAGTTGAAATGTCAAGCCTGGATGTTGTCCCCTGGAACTTATGAGGAAAGATTAGCTGATCTGAGTTGTTGAGATTCCCCATCCGCCCATAGTCTATAGATTGTGGACGGGAAGCTTTTGCCGATGAGGGCTAATGTACCTGTATGTCAGCCCGCATTGGCGGCTGCTGTGCGGCTCACAGAGCACACACCCGTGAGTCCGGCAATCGGTATATCGCCCAGACACAGCGGATCACATTACCGCTGTGTCAGGGCGATCACATGGTCTTTTACCATGTAATTGCTGTGTCCAATCACAACAATCACATAGTAAATACTGGAAAGTGAAACTAAAGATTGCCTCTCTGTGCTCTCAGTGTGAGAGCATAGAGGAGCTATCCTGCAGCCTGTCAGGCTGCTTGTACTGCTGTGCCAGCCAGCCAGCTCCTGTGTCCCTGATCACTGCCCCAGTATATTCATAATAAATATTGCAGCCAACCCCTGTCACCTGGCCCAGTGCACACTAAAACACCCCCATACACCATACCAGTGTCCTGATCATGGCCATACCAGCGCCTGATCACCACCACACCCCATACCAACACCCCTGATCACCACCATACGCCATATCAACATCTTGTTCACTGCCATACCCCGTACCAGAATCCTGATCACCACCATGCCCCATAACATCCTTATGATCATTGCCATGTCCCATACCAGCATCCTGTTCACCCCATTTGCCATACCAGCGTCCTGATCACTGCCATACCAGTGTCCTGATCACCACCATACCAGGGTCCTGATCACCGCCATAGCTCATGCTAGCATGCTGATCACCGCCATACCAGTGTCCTGATCACTGCCATGCGTCATACCAGCGTCCAGCATTTTAGGGTCTCAGCTGATCAATTTTCAAATATGTATCCCATAGTTTGTAGACTCTTTCACAAGATACACTGTTTTGGGTTATTTTTTACCCCAAAATGTAGCAGAATACATTATGGCCTAAATTTATGAAGACAAATTATTTATTTTCAAAATTTTATAACAAAACTTGATTTTTTTTCAAAATTTGCTGTCTTTTTAAATTTATATAGCAAAAAATTAAAAACCCAGTGGTGATCAAATGCCACGAAAAAAAAGCTCTATCTGTCTCAAAAAATGATAAATATTTCATATGGCTACAGTGTTGCATGACTAATTGTCATTCAAAGTGTGATAGTGTTGAAAGCTGAAAATTGGCCTGGACTGGAAGGGGGTGAAAGTGTGTGTACTTGAAGTGGTTAAGATCAATTAAAGATACAAAGGGAACTCCTGCACCTGGAGGAAAAGAGTTTTGGGGACAGTTCATACTGGGAATCGCACAAGAATGCACTATGCATTCCTGTGTGAGTCACAAGCGGTTTAGTGCAGTGTGATTTGAGCCCATTCTTATAGACACACAGAGGTGGCTAATGTACAAGGATGCGCAAGTGCCCCCAGAGCACACAGCTTGCTCTGGGGGCACCCAGCAGGAGGGAGGGGCAAGGAGTGCCACTGGGGACTCGAGAAAAGGAGGACAAACATTGCACAGAGCAGGCAAGTATACCATGTTTGCATGTTTGTTATTGTAAAAAAAGTCTGAACCTTTAGTATCACTTTAATGTCTTGATTCAAAAAAAGGACTGGATGTGTTTCTAAAAATACTATATATATATCACTGTAACTTATTGACCCAGGGAATACCCAATTGCCCATGAGGATTTTCTTTTCTGGTCAGAGCTTGTTCGCACCATCATGCTGTGTGGAATCCCTTTGCATTAGGCAATCCATTCAAACTGAATGGGCTAAAATGCACCTCAATTAATTAAAAAAAAAATGATTTTTTTTTGTTGTATTGCTGCATATTTGGGACACTACACAATGCACATTGTACAACGCACATCATTAATTTTTAACAGAACACAAAGTTTGCACACCTGGATTGCACCGCACCGCAACAGAGGGTAATACTCTACTACATATACACTGTGGTGCACTGCATTGGAAAACAATGGTCCTTTTGTGGTGTCTTAATGCAACTGAAATGAATGGGCTGCTGTAGTGCAATTCATCTTAATGTGAGATGTAACTCCAGAATTAAAAGATGTGAAGGGGGCCCTAGATGAGCATATCTGCTGCTACCCATAGACAAAAGGATCATTACCTGATCCAGTCAAAATCAGTCTAATTGGACAACAATTATCTTAGTTATTTTTATTTTATGTAAATAATCTAATGAGTAAGCACTAATATGTAAATATACATCCAGCAAGTTTGGTAAAATTTTGATGATAAAAATGCCATTGGTTACAATTTTATGTGCATGATCCACTTGCTTTTCCCTAAGTATAACTTATGGTGGCCTATCAGATCTTATGTAAAGTCAGAAATGTTTATTAATGGGGGCGCATGCGCAACCAAGGACGATGGCGGTCGCTTAAGCACTGAGCTCCGCTCATCCCCGGCCAGCACGAACTCACCCGTAACGCGGCACAGCTCTCTCTCCGCTCCCGGGTGAGTCACACCCATCCAGAACCTGGCCCGGCACCAGGGAAAGGCTTCCAGGAGGAAGATAGGGCACTTGAAGCCCCTCTCCCCGCCGCCACAAGATCCGTGGCCCTCACCGCTCCAGCGGTTTCTATCCAGGCCGCAATCCCTGGCCTCTAGTAGCATCAGGAGTCCGGGGAGTGATCCCGGACCCCCAGCGGCCATGGAGGGTACTGCACCCTCATACAATACAGAGCAGCTGACAGCTTCTGCCCTGATCCATCCTCAGATGGAGGATTCTGACCCCCAGGCCACAACAGGAGGGGCAATGGACCACCCTACATCAGGGAATCAGCCACACTCTACCCAGATTTTCCAGCAGGCTGCATCAACATCTTCTCTCACAATATCAGCGTTAGGTGATAAATTGCAAGTATTTTTACGCAATATCACCGCCTCCATATCCGCTGAAGTTGGAAAATTGGCCTTGGATCTCAGAGGGGAAATAGCCCAGATTGGAGACCGCACGGATCAATTGGAAAATAAGTTTGATGAATTGGTGCAATACGTTCCTGTTTTGGAGGAAGACAATGCGTATGTGAAGCACTCCTTGTCCCAAATGCAGGTCCAACAAGAGGACCTGGAAAACAGGGAACGGCACCAAAATATCTGTATTTGCGGTATGTCCGAATCTATTGCTGACGCACAATTACACCGTCACCTACTGTCCTTCTTCATCGCAACTTCTCCCATGGTTCCAGAAGCAGACTTGCAAATGGACAGGGCTCATTGCTCTCTGGGCCCGAAACCTGTTGAAGGCACCAGACCACGCGACGTCATAGTCCGCTTCCATTTCTTTCAAAGCAAAGAAGCCTTATTATCAGCAGTTCGCCACAAGTCTTCTCTGGAATTTAAAGGTGACAGACTCCAACTCTTCTGTGACCTTTCCCCAATTACCCTTGCCAAACAGCAAGCTCTGAAGCCTATCATCACACACCTTCAGCAACACCATGTCCCTTATCATTGGGGGTTCCCCTTCAAGCTGGTCGTCTCTAGGGACAACACTCAAGTTGTTCTTCGTGATTTTCATGAGGCACACTCTTTCCTAAAGCAGCTGGGACTTCCACCTTTGTCGGATGATGTGTCCTCATTGCCGCCTACTCCATCCCGCCCTTCCGCCACCCCCAACAAGATCTAGACACCAGTTTGCAGAGGCTGGAAGAGACTCTCATGCACCCCACAATGTCCACATCCTCCTCAAACAAACGATCAGCCTGCCTAATGATTCTCTGGGGTGACCTTCTGTGGTGAATCCGGTGATGATCCTTCCCTCTTGATCTATACATGGTTTCTCCACAGGGTTTTTGGCCAGCCATTCAAAAATGGTGGATGGCTTTGAGGGAATTTCGATCCTCAGGAGAATACATTATTTTTGTCCAGGAGATCCATTTCAAATCAACTAGCTCCTTTCGTTTTGCCTCAAGATTTTTTTCCCAAGTCTACTTGGCCTTTGATCCTTCTGGGAAGACTGGGGTGACAATTTTGATTAGGACGCACTGCTCCCTTCGGGTTGTTTCCTCCAAGGTCAACCAATGAGGTTGTTTCATTATTTTGGATATTATGCTTGGTAACACTCCCCTTGTTTTGTCGAATTTATATGCCCCAAATACGGGTCAATTGCAATTCCTTTCCTAAACACTCGCCAACTTAGATTCCATTTCCACTTCGCATGTGATTGTTGGGGGTGATTTTAATGTAATTTTTTCCCCCCATAAAGACAGGAAAGTTCTTTTTGAGTCCACACCCTCAAAGCAGCAATGTTCCTCTTCTAAATCCTTCCACAGACTGATAAGGGAGCATCGTCTCTTTGACGCCTGGCGGACTAGACACCCTCTCCATGAACAATTTACTTTCTACTCCGCCCCCTCACCGTAGTTTCTCCCGCCTAAATAATTTTTTTATCTCTGCCTCACTGCTTCCCCTCCTGG